ATCAGCCTGGGAGACTGAGGCTGCAGTAAGCCATGAACATGCACCACTGCACTTCAGCCTGGGTGACAGAGTGAGACCCTGCCTCAAAAAAAAAAAAAAGAATTCTAGATTGACAGAGTCCTTCAGCACTTTAATGATGTCATTTCATTTTCTTCTGGCTTGGTTTCTGACTAGAACTTGGAAGTCACTCATCTCTGTTACATAATGTAGCTTTTTTCTCTGGCTGCTTTTAAGATTTTCTCTTTATCATTTGTTTTCAACAATATGATTATGATGTGTCTTGGTGTGGTTTTCTTTGTATTTTTCCTACATCGCATTTAAAAATAGAAATTGTCAGAGCAATTTGAAGAACGAGGCTAAGCTCTATGTTGTCTACAAGAAAGCTACTTTAACTATAAAGGCACAGATTAAAAGTAAATGGTTAGCGAAAGATATACCACATGTCATATGCTGAATTGTGTCCCCCTAAAATTTATATGTTGATGTCTTAACCACCATTACCTTAGAATGCAAACTGTATTTGGACTTATAGGGGCTTTCAAGGGTGAATTCGTTTAAATGAAGTCATTAGAGCAGGCCCTAATCCATTATGGCTGGTGTCCTTATAAGAAGAGGAGATTGGGACACACAGAGACCATGTGAAGATAAAGGGAGAAGATGACTATCTATAAGTCAAAGGAAGAAGCCTCAGAATGAAACCAACCCTGCCAGCACTTTGATCTTGGAATTCTAGTCTGCAGACTTTAAGAAAATTAATTTCTATTTTTTGAGCCCCATAGGGTATGCCATACTTTGTTATGGCAGCCCTAGCCGTGATGGAGCATTCTAACACTAGTCAGAAGAAAGTTGTGGTAGTTGAATTAATTTCAGAGAGAGCAAACCTCAGAGCAAGGACTATTATCAGGGATAAAGAGAAGGGTTGTGTAATGATAAAGGGACCAATTCTCTAAGAAGACTGAATAACTGTTAATGTGTACACACCTAACAACAGAGCATCAAAACATATGAGGCAAAACACAGAAGCAAGGAAAATAGATGCATCCACCATTATAGTTGGAATCTTCAGCAACCCCTGTCAGTAATGGACAGATCTGGCAGTCAACCGATTCAGTAAGAACATAGTTGAACTCAACAGTACCATCAGTCAAATGGATATAATTGACATCTATAGAATGTTTTGTCCAGCAACAGCAGAATACACATTCTTCCCAAGTTCCTAAGGAAATTACACCAAGGCAGACCACAGTCAGGGCCATAAAATGCACTTTAAAAAATTTATAAGAATAAAAATGATATGGCATATGCTCTCAGATTACAGTGGTATTCAGTAATGGAAAGAAAGCTGGAAAATCCCAAAATATGTGGAGATTAAACAGCACACTTCTTTTTTTTTTTTTTTTTTTTAATTTTTTATTTTTTGAGACAGAGTTTCGCTCTTGTTACCCAGGCTGGAGTGCGATGGCGTGATCTCGGCTCACCGCAACCTCCGCCTCCTGGGTTCAGGCAATTCTCCTGCCTCAGCCTCCTGAGTAGCTGGGATTACAGGCACGCGCCATCATGCCCAGCTAATTTTTTGTATTTTTAGTAGAGACGGGGTTTCACCATTTGACCAGGATGGTCTCGATCTCTTGACCTCGTGATCCACCCGCCTTGGCCTCCCAAAGTGCTGGGATTACAGGCGTGAGCCACCACCCCCGGCCTAAACAGCACACTTCTAAATAACACGTAGGTCAAGAAAGAAATCTCTAGAGAAATTGAAATGAATTTTTTAAATTTTTACTTCTCATTTTTGTGGGTACATAGTAGGTTTATGTATTTACGGGGTACATGTGATGTTTTGAAAAGTATTTTAAAGTGAATAAAAATGAAAATACAACTATCAAAATTTGTGGGATGCAGTGAAAGCAGCTCTTAGAGGGAAATTTATAGCACTGAATTCACAGCTTAGAAAAGAAGATCTAAAATCAATGGTGTGTGGCCGGGGGCGGTGGCTCAGGCCTATAATCCCAGCACTTTGGGAGGCCAAGGTGGGTGGATCACGAGGTCAAGAGATAGAGACCATACTGTTCAACAGGGTGAAACCCTGTCTCTTCTAAAAATACAAAAATTAGCTGGGCATGGTGGTGCACGCCTGTAGTCCCAGCTACTCAGGAGGCTGAGGCAGGAGAATTCCTTGAACCCAGGAGGCGGAGGTTGTGGTAAGCCGAGATCCCGCCATTGCACTCCAGCCTGGATAACAAGAGCGAAACTCTGTTTAAAAAAAAAAAAATCAATAGTGTAAGCTTCCACTAGAGTCAACTAAGAGAAGGGCAAATTAAATTCAAAGTAAGTAGAAGAAAAGAATAAAAACTAGACCAGAAATCGATGAAATTGAAAACAGGAAATCAATGGAGTACATCAAGACTAAAAGCTGGCTCAAATAAATAAACTCTGTCTCAAAATAAACAAATAAATATTTGATTCAGGCATATGTATGGGTTTCTCCCTCCCCGCCTCACCCAGACAAGAGTTGCCTAGGCTGGAGTGCAGTGGTGCTCAACTCACTGCAACCTCCGCCTCCCGGGTTCAAACAGTTCTCCTGCCTCAGCCTTCCAAGTAGCTGGGATTACAGGTGCTTGCCACCACATTCAGCTAATTTTTGTGTTATTAGTAGAGACTGTGTTTTGCCGTGTTGGCCAGGCTGGCCTCAAACTCCTGACCTCAGGTGATCTGCCTGCCTCTGCGTCCCAAATCTGGGATTATAGGCTTGAGCCACCATGCCCAGCCGTATATGGTCTTTTTTTTTTTTTTTTTTTTTTTTGGCCCTTATGTTTAGTAATTTCACAATTTCTGAAATATTTGAAAATGTGCCAATAAAATGTAGTAACTCTTAATTTTTTTAAAAAAAAATGCTCAACAAAATATTAACAAATCAAATCTAACAATGTATGAAAAGAATTGTACACTGTGACCAAGTGAGATTTATGCCAGGTGTGCAAGGCTGGTTCAGCATTCAGAAATTGGTTAATGTAATCCATCACATCAGGGGGCTACAGAAGACAAATCACATGCTTATATCAACAGATGCAATAAAAGCATTTGACAGAAGTCAACACCCATTCATGATAAAAACTTTAAGCAAATAAGGGATAGAGAGGCTTTTCCTCAACTTCATAAAGAAAAATGCAAGTTAAAATTATAAAATACTACTACAAACCTACCAAAATAACTGAAATGTAAGACTGGCAATATCAATTATTGGTGAAGATGTGGAGTAACTGGAACTCTGATAAATTGTTGATTGTGAGTATCACAACTTTTAAAAAATTGTTTCATAGTATCTTCTTTTTTTTTTCCCATTCTGTTCTCATGACAGTTTCATAGTATCTTCTAAAGCCAAACATTCACCTACCCCATGGCCCAGCAAGTCTACTCCTAGTTGAAATGAGTGCATATGTTCAGTAAAAGATACGTACATAAATGTTCATAGCAGCTTTGTTTTATAATAGCCGTCAACTATAATTAGCCCATATGTCCACCAACAAGAGAATAGATGGATTGTAGTATATTCATACAGTGGAATATCAACCAGTAATAAAAAAGAATGAACTACTGTTTTACATGCAGTAACAGAGAAGAATTTTATAATGTTGACTAAAAGAAACCAGGCATAGGCCAGATGTGGTGGCTCACGCCTGTAATCCCAACACTTTAGGAGGCTGAAGCGGACAGATCACGAGGTCAGGAGGTTGAGACTATCCTGGCCAACATGGAGAAACCCCGTCTCTACTACAAATAGAAAAATTAGGTGGGTGTGGTGGCGCATGCCTGTAATCCCAGTTACTCGGGAAGCTGAGGCACAAGAATTGCTTGAACCCAGGAAGCAGAGGTTGCAGTGAGCCAAGATCGCTCTACTGCACCCCAGCCTGGGCAACAGAGGGAGACTCCATCTCAAAAAAAAAAAAAAAAAAAAAAAAAAAAAAAGCCAGGCACAAAAGAATACATACCCTATGGTTATATTTATAGGAAACTCAAAGATGAAACAAACTAATAACAACATTGGGCCAGGCACAGTGGCCCACACCTATACTCTCAGAGCTTTGGGAGGCGAAGGCAGAAAGACTGCTTGAGTCCATGAGTTCAAGACCAGCCTGGGCAACATAACAAGACCTGATCTCTACAATAAAACCAGACTTGGTGGCATGCATCTATAGTCCTCACTGCTTGGGAGGCTGAAGCATAAAGATCACTTGAGCCCAGTAGTTTGAGGTTACACTGAGCTATGATCACACCACTGCACACTAGCCTGAGCAACAAAGCAAGACCTGTCTCTAAAAAAAAATGATGATGATGATGACAAAATTGGAGTGGAGTGAAGGTAACATTGTTTAGTAAGGGGTGTGAAGATTGTTTTCCAGTATGCTGGAAACATTGTACATCTTCATCAGGGTGGTGGTAACTGCCAGCGGTATGCTAGAACAGACTCATACTCACTTATGAGAGGCAGCTATTATATTCGTGAATTTTGCAAGCTAGTTGACTATGACTACCTTATAATTGGCCATGGTAAGAGTTTTTAATGCCCTGGAGGTCTACTAGTGGTTTTACAAAGTAGTGAAGTTCGGTTGATAAACATTTAGCAGTATACTACTTCTTATTGCTCACCAACCCGTGACCTCTGACTATAGAAGACACTTAGAGAAGATAAAAAAACAGTGAGGTACTAAGGAATGCTGTCATCCAGCCTAAGCCAAAAAGGGTTGGCAATAAGAAACTATTAATAGCATGCTATTTAGCATGTCTTGGTCAAAGAATATTTGTTTACAGCTGCCTAGTATTTGACTTTTCCATTCTGCCTTTAGCCAAAGTAAATTTTCTCTATTTTTGAAAACAACTTAATGGTAGAAAATTAACAGCAAATCATAGCCTTTCTGTAGACTCCTTTTGACATCTTGCTGAATTGGTGTCCTATTGATTTTGAGTAATTCAAGTTCCTACCCTTTTTGTTTCTACTTCTTTAGGAGCATTCCGGAAGAGTTTTTCGACTCCAGTTTGATGAATTCCAGATTGTCAGTAGTTCACATGATGACACAATCCTCATCTGGGACTTCCTAAATGATCCAGCTGCCCAAGCTGAACCCCCCCATTCCCCTTCTCGAACATACACCTACATCTCCAGATAAATAACCATACACTGACCTCATACTTGCCCAGGTATAAAAATCTATTATGTACATAACACTGTGGGTAGGAGACGGAATATTAGCTGTAAGGTGTTGCTGTTTCATGGAGCTTTCTCTTGCCGTTCGTGTCCCCTAAGTCCTGTAAAGTCAGGGAAGCAGGCAATGTGAGGCAGGGCTAAAGCTGCCGTAGTGGACAGTGCCTTTCACCAAGGTAGCCAGCCTCAGTTCTAGATGATTCTAGGGTCCCACTTGTGTGGTAAGCCTCGTCATTCCTGCCCTAGTTATCTAGTAGCATTGTTATGAAAATAAAATGAGATTTGAATCAGTTTGAAAACCTAAGTACTGTAATGACACAAAGGCCTGTGATGTTTAAGTTCCCAGATCAAACAATACCTACAATCGTGTCCTTTCAAGCCAAGTAGACACTCTGAAGTCTAATGTGGGACTGGAAAGATCTCTTGGTGAAAGTTCACACTGACATAAATAAAAGAGCAGATTTTAAAAGGAATATAAAATGCAGCTTTTATAGCCCTATATCCATTCTTCAACCCTCCAAAAAGACGACCTGACTCCATGTGTTCTCCCACTCAAGTCTCCAACCTCTCTCTCAGGCAGGGGAAGACCCTAAAATATCCAGGTTGTCCATCCATACTGTGGTATATTCATATTGTACCTGGTGTTCTAACCAGTTCAAATGCTGCTGAGGAGCATTGCTATCCTTAGTATTTCCCACGTGTGCCTCTGTTCTCGTAGCAGAAGTACACATTCGCTACATGTTTCTGCATCTCTCTTTCCAGTGTTCTGCTGAGGGCAGTGATTCACGCCCAGCTGGGCTTGCCTCAGCACCCCTTTCTCTCACAGAAGACACGGTTCGTCATTCCTCAACCAGGTCTCACAGGCTGTGTGCCCTTGGACAAATAACTTCCCAGAGCCTGAATCTCCTGATGAGTAACATGAGGGGCAGCACTTACCTCACAGAGCTCTGTGAAGGCTGCATGGAGATACTGTATGGAAAATTCCTAGTGCTTAGCTCAGTGCCAAGTACATAGCATGCCCTCAGGAAAGAGGTCATTAGTATTAATATTGCAGTGTCCATATACCTACCCCCGCCTTTTGCCCAAAATTTTCTCTCCCTTAGACTTCTGTGTCACTTAGCCATTTTTAATATTCTTCCTGGCTCTCTGATTATTTGTGCCTCCTTCCCCCCTTACTCCTGAGACATAAATATCTCTCCTAAGAGTCTTCTGAATCTTCTGTGGCTTTTCTCATTATTTTTATTTTATTTCTTGAGACAGGGCTTCACTCCTGTCACCCAAGCTGGAGTGCAGTGGCACAATGTTAGCTCCCTGCAACTTCTGCCTCAAGCTCAAGTGATTCTCCTGCCTCAGCCCCCTGAGTACCACAGGCACATGACACCATGCCGAGCTAATTTTTTCTTTTTTCTTTTGGTAGAGATGGGGGTTTCACCATGTTGCCCAGTCTGGTCTTGAACTCCTGAGCTCAAGTGATCCACCTCCCTTGGCCTCCCAAAGTGTTGGGATTACAGGTGGAGCCACCACGTGCAGCCTGTCTCTGATTTTTCTTCCCTTCCTGAGGTCCCCTCCTTGGCTGCCTTCTCTTTTCCCAAGGCTTGGCTGTCATCTCAATGTAGAAGACTCAAATTTTTGTCTCCCGTCCAAGCCTCTCCCTTAGTCTCCAGGCCACATTTCCAGCTGCCATTCACACAGCTATCCTTGAAGTTATCAAGAGCCCCTCTAGTGCTCACATCCTCAACTACACCGTCCGCTCCTTTGCATTGCTGATACCCTCCAACCACACAGCCAGGCCAGCTTTCCTTGATTCCCCCACTTCTGTTAGTGGGACCACCATGTTCATGGCCAATCAAAGGCAGAGCCCACAGAGCCATCCCTCACCCCTGCTCTGCCATTCTACAGGGCAGGTGAAAGCTAAGCCAATCATGGTCACTGTCAGCCTCATGACATCAGGGTCACTCTGCTTGAATACCACAGCCCTGAGCATGTCAGCAAGCCCTGCCTTTAGTATAACTTCCCAATCAGGCCAGGTCACCTTAGACAGAGGCCCCTGCATGGCATAGGCGGAGAGCAGGCATTAGGAAGGACCCCTAAGCCTTTTCCCCATCGGCAGCTAAGTGAATGCTCTCTTCTCTTCAAGCAAGTAAGAAATACTGGGAATGGGGCTAATGACTGTTTGCTCTGTTTTCACACAGGACCCATTAAAGTTGCGGTATTTAACGTATCTGCCAGTACCAGGACGAGCAACAACAGTAACAATCAAACTACTGCCCAGTTTCCCCGGACTAGCTGAGGAGCAGGGCTTTGAAACTCCTGTTGGGACACAGTTGGTCTGCAGTCGGCTCAGGACGGTCTACTCAGCACAGCTGACTGCTTCAGTGCTGCTATCAGAAGATGTCTTCTATCTTTTGTGAATGATTGGAACTTTTAAACCTCCCCTCCCCTCCTCCTTTCCCTTCTGCACCTAGTTTTTTCCCATTGGTTCCAGACAAAGATGACTTATAAATATATTTAGTGTTTTGCCACAATCTCTCTTGCTTTGCCATTAAGCAGAAGAACTAGTTTCCCTGTATAGCCTGCTGGGAAAGACCCACTTCTAGGGGATTGGGGGGATGCAGCTTCAAGCCAGATAGTGCCCAGTGTCTCCCTGTTAATGCAGGAATGCAAAGCACCTGGCCAGAGCAGCACAGCCCCACTGTGCTTAAGAGGAGACAGAGCTCTCTGTATAGCCTCTGGGGCAAAAAAAAAAAATAGAAAACAGGAGTGTATACACTGGAAGATCTGGGCCTCCTGCCTGCCTTCTCTTTGTTTCTGTTCCTCTTCCCTTCTACTTTCCCACTCCCCTTCAACAACTCTTTTCTCTCTCTGCTCCACCTGAGAAGAAAGTATATGAAGAGAATGTCCTCCTTTAGCATGAGGCAGATAAGCCAGAAAATGCAACACTTGCAAGAGTTAAATGCTGTTCAGTCAAGATTTCAGACCCAGGCCTTTGCTGCAAGTGACCCTGTGGCAACAGTGGATTCTCAGACATAATACTCTCATCGTATTTGCAACTCTTCCCTCTCCTTCCCCACACCCAAGAGGAGGATGGGTGGGTGGGGGAAGCAGAAGTTTCCTGGGCTCCATCAATGGCTGTATCTTTTCTGGACTCAGCAGTCTCCTTGATTCCATGTAGAGTGTGGAAAGGAGTTGCTGATTGCATTTCCTCTCATTAACAATTAGGTGTGTAATAAAAAGCATTGTACTAGATCTTAAATCACTAGTAAGGCTCAGCCTACAGAAAGGTTTGAAATGGCCAAAGCCAGTCGCTTGGTGCATTCTACATAATGGTTTCCATCTCCGATTTCCTCATCAGGGCCTGTGAGTACCCAGGTGACTGTATCTTTGCCAATACCATGATCAAAGTAGCTTAAGAGAGATGGTCAGGAGAAAACTGATTTTTTTTTTTTTTTTTTTTTTTGCCAGTAAATATCATCTCTCAAAAATTGATCTCACCATGTGAACCTTGCACTGCAGAATCTTCCTTCTGCTTCTCCCACACCCAGTGTTTGCAGAAGGGCAAAGCTGCCCAAGAGAGAGGATCAGGGTGAAGTTTGGCACACAGGGTTTATTAATGGGGCAAAAACTGCCTTTTCTTCCTCCTCCTGACCTTATTTTGCTCTTCACTCTCCCCATCCAGTAAAATGTCTGTGGCAATAGGTGAACAACATAAACAGCTGGACCTCAGCAAAGGCCAGGCAAACCTGGCCACTCGGAAGGTAGCTGTGTGAGCTGCCATGCTAGTGGGCTTCAGGTGCAAGGGCACCTGTGCCACAGCAACCTGGGAGCACAGAGAATACTATTCATGTGCACCCAGCTGGTCTCCCCAGGCAGGAGTGGACCTGCATGAGCTATCTCTGGTAGTATAGGGTGCACCCTGGTTGGCAAGAAGGTATCCTCTTCCCAAGGTGTACCCAGACTGAATGTTGTTACTGCATATTGAGAGGCAGTTTATGCATATGCATTCTACCTTTCCTGCTTTATGGGTATTTTAAGCTTTTAGTTCCAGGTTATATTGAGAAAATATTTCCCAGCGTAATGATACATCATTGTCTAGGAAATATTTTCTCAATATAATTCCCTTCCCCACTACTCAGATGCTACAGAGAAATGTTTTCTACTTGACCACTATCAGGGTTCCTCATCTGTTGTGTTGACTATTAATAGTTTTTTGATTGCATAAGGATTTTGCTGTAGATGAAGGGAGAGGGCTGTCAGCCCTGAAAAACACATAGGTCAGATATTTAAAAGGCATGGGTTTCGAGCTGTCTCAAAATATTGTCCAATAGCCATAACTTTACTAGCCCTTCTGACATATGCTGCTGTTACAAAGTGGAAGCTGTTGAATGTTTATTGGTGCCCAGGGTTTTGCTCTCCAGTCTAGGTTCAGTTGAAAGAATATTGTTTCTAAGACTATTTTGAAACATGTCCAGTACATCACAGAGGAGATCCAGGTGGACCCTGCAGATGTGGAGCCGTTAGCCCAGTTGAGGATATCCTCCAAGTTATCCTCTCTGCTGCTGATGGAAATGGGAATGAAGTTAAGTGGTCTGAAAAACTTGAATCGTTCACATTTCTCAGCTCTGGGGGTCATTTACCAGTTCATTGTAGAAGAAATAATCAGGTAAGTAAAAGTTCATTTCCAGAGAACGTAAACCCTACTTACTATCTCTGCATGATTTCAGTTGGAATTGATTATCACTAATCCCCAACTGGGCTAAAATAAATGTAAAGTTTGACCTTTTAAAACAAAAAGAGAGACAAAGTCTCAGCACATTCCAAGGAGTGGTAGAAACAGAGCTGAAGGTGTCCCCATTGTAGATTAGTCTCTTCTCACTAAAATTTACTTTCCAACATAGGGCCTAAAGGAAACCTTTCTTAAAGACAAGCTGAAACCCCTTGGAAGGCAGGTGAGGAGGTGTGCATGTACCTGTTACAGACACGTGACCTCTTGGTGCACACTGGGGCTACTTGGACAAGACCAGCATGCCTCGTTGCACGTGTTTGTATTTCACTGCTGAGAACATCCTTTTCTGTATGCAGTCTGAAAGGATGTGAATTACAGATGGAAGGCCATTGCACTTGTCCCTTGACAAAATTCTTTCTGGTGTCTGCTAACTTTAGACACAGGAACTCTTTTTGGATCTCTACTGACAAGTAATAAAGTCCGGCCCTCATAACTTGTTTCCGAGCTAGAAAAGACTGTGAGACCCCTAATTTTTTTTTTTTTTTTTTTTTTTTTTGGCTTGAGTAAAAACAGTCCTTTTTTATTTTTCTTCTGTATAGTCTAAAGCTACAGAGGAAAAAAAACTGCAGTCTCCCCTTGCCAACTCCTGGTACCATTGGTCTGAAGAGCTGTAGTTGGTCTACTTAGCACTTGATTGTGTGGGGAAACAAAGGTGGAAGGGGTGGGGAATACTGGAAGTAATCAGGGCAATTTTTTTCTTTCCTAGAATTGGATTAGATACCTTGGTACAGTTGACCTCCTCAGCATTTCCCTTTTGCCTTAGATGGCAACACCCTCCAGCCTGAAGCAGAGCAATCCAACCCAGATTAGTGCAGCCCTGAGGCCTAGGCTGCGGCCTCCCTGGTCTTCCTCCATACAGCTGACACCAACAGACAGACCTCCTTACTTTAACCACAGTGTCAACATAGCATCAGAAAGAGAGCATCTCTTAAGGGAATAAAACTGAGTTTTGCTTCTTTACCTGTAGTTCATCTGTGGTGTCAGAATCCTTGGAGCCGAAGAGAGAAATCAAAAGAGCATGATGATGGTGGCCTGGTTTCAGGTGGAACTTAATGCATTGATCTTTAGAAATCCCTTCTGTTGAAAGTTGAGTACCTATGATCTAAAATGTCCTGGAGGCAGATGACATCTAAAATATGTGCTTTCCAACCAGCACAGCTGGCGCTCTTAGCTCCTGATTGGTTGTGTGTGTGTTGTATTAAGGATCGGTGTAGTAAGTTGTATTTTAAAGTGTTACCTCCCCTCCTAACCCTTCCCCTTCTTGGACACTGAGGGAAAAGACCAACTAGGACATTAGGCCTCTGGGCACCAAGGAAACGAACAGCTTTCTCAAAGCAGTGACCACTCAAGCCCAACCCAGACAGCTCTGAGGGATGGCTAGTGAACTCCAACTATGGGACAGGCCTGGCAACACGTGGGCTTCCCCAAGAGCTGTCAGCTGGTTCAGCTCTTTTGTTCTCTAGACTCTTAAGTACTGACTGCTTTGACTTTTGTGATTATGTTATGGTGATGTGTAGTCAATGTACCAATATGTTCACAACCTAGGATCATGATAATAGAGTGCGTTTTGGTTTTTTTTTTTTAAACTGTTCAGAAAAAAAGTAACTTAAATCACAAATATAAGATTAAAGTGAATTTTCTAAGTGTCTTGTCTCCTTGCCCCAGCATCAAAAAGGATAATACATTTTTCAGTATTCAGACTGAGGGAGTGCACAGATAGAATGCCTTTGCAGATAATCTGATGTGAGAAAACAAGATTGAGAGAAAGCAGGGGTGGATGCTATGGATGAGCACGGGATCCCTGGCATATACCTACTACTGTTCCACATTGAGTTAAATTGGAGCCAGAGTCATGTCTCATTTGCGAATTGGTCACCTTAGCCAACCACAGCCCAACCTGAATGCAGAATTTACATTTTTCTTCTGCAGGTGAAAAGACGAGTTTCCCCTGCATCCCATTTGATCAGTTTATAGGCAAGCAAGCTCACATCTGGGAGCAGTTTCCAGAGGGACTCCAACAAGCTGTAAGAATGAAGGTACCCTTAACCATCTGGTGTATGACATTGCAGTTCCTGAGTGAAATCCCCCTTCCCTCCTTCAGACAAACATAGAGAGGTACAAGGTTGCAGGCATTGGCCAAATGGGACTCTCTGTCCCCCTCCCCTCTCTCGTGTCCTGTCCCCCTCCCCTCTCTAGTGTCACAGGATCCTTGCCAAAATTGACCCATCCTTGTTTTAAAATCTATGGGCTTTTTGTATTAATAACCCTCCCACATGACCAAGGCTCCCTGGCTTCCATCAGCCTTGTAGTCTCATTGTCTTGTCTGGACGGACCACTGGCCATGAGAGCAGTCTCCCACTGTGGTCAGCATCAGGGCTCCTGTGCCGAACCCTCCCTACTAGAGCTGGAAGAATGTCAGAGCATCAGGTGTACTCTACTCTTTGCGGATGAGGAAACTGAGGATCAAGAAAAGGGACCCACATTGCCCAAAACTACACTGAAGTCTCCTCCCTAATAACTAAGGACAGGCAGCACCAGAGAGAGAAAGGGAGGGAGGTGTCAGGGTAACTACTCTGGGGCCACTGGTATCTGCTCAGTTATGTCCCTCACCAGCAGGGCTTCTGAGCAGAAGCTGAGCCTAAAGGTTTGTGGATCTCACCCTCAAACCCTGTCAGATCTCTCACCCAGGAAGGGTGGGGTCTAGGGCCTACCCTGGGAAGATTCAACTTCATAGCTATGGTTTCCTACTGCCAGGCTGGGCCGGGAATCCCTTCCCCCTTTAAACCTATAGCTTTAAACCTATAGCCACCATCGGCAATGACTAAGGGGAGGAGACATCTCTTCTTCCTGATTGGCTCTTGCCAATTAAGAGCATTTTATTAGGCTGCTAATTAAAGGCACTTCGTTAGCAGCAGGAGAGGCCAAGTGGGTGCCTGGTGAGACAGCCGAAACCAGAAAAAATTGTTTTCCTGCCCCTATGAAAGCAGAGCCTCTCAGGGAACCCTCTCAGTCCCCACCCTCTCCCGCTGCGCCTAGTATACCCCTTGCTTTCAATTAGCAACTCTGAGGGGAGCAAGGTCATTATCAAGCCCGAGCTGGAGTTCCCCTCCATCACCAGCACCACCTCAGGCTGTATGCGGTCCTCAGGGGCTGGCCAGGCCCCCAGACACCTTGTGAACCTGGGCCTGGAGAAGGAGAGGCTGGGCAGCCCAGTGGGGAGTGTGTTCTCTCCACTAAGAAAAGGGGCGTGACTCCCCAAGCAGCTCAGGTGAATGTCACCTGGTTCTCACCATTGGGACCATCCTGAACAGTCACTGGATGACTTGGTCACATAGTGTGAATCCCCCATCCCCCTTTCCTCAACAAAGGCTTATAATTTCATGGAGGAAATGTGCCCTTCCCACCAGTGACTGACAGTCCCTGGGCATTTTCCAAGAGCAGAGCCCATGTAGACCCTGAATAGGTCCAGGAGGAGAGAGGGCTGACAGTTTGACAATACTGGCCATGCAGACCCTCAAGAAACTCCTGTCCCTGAGCTCACGTCACATGTGAGGCACTTCCCCTGGATGGTCTGAATGAGCCCCCTGCAAAAGAGGAGAGCCTGTCTATGACCTAGCACATGGGGGCTGGCATGCAGGACCACTCCCTCTCCCGAGCCCTGCCTGTCCCATCTTGTGCCCACCTCATCCCTCAGTTAACTGCAGAATTAGCACCAGCCTGGGCTGTGAGGGCAGATATATGACTAGGCCTGCTTCCCTCCACTTAACCTGAGGCCAGCCCGGGCTCCAGACACTAAATTAGATTTTTGACAATTAGAGAGACTAATGGGCACATAGCCATCCCCAGAGCCAAATATCCAGATCCAGCAAGGCCATTCTTTAATATCTACCACCGGCCAGCCCACCCCTCCCCTGGCTGCCCCCTTCTCCCTCCCATGGGTGGGCATTTCTCTCTCCCCAGCCCCTATCTCTCTTTGCCTGGGCTCTACATGCATTCCCAAGCTGGCTCTGGTTGCTGTTCCCTCTCTCACCTACTCTCAACTTCTAGCCCCTTGTCCAGTGCCAGCCTGGCTCTACCCCTCTCTCCGTGGCCTTTAGCCTCCTTTTTGTACTTTGAACACTTGTCTCTTCAGCCCCTCTTTCCCCAGGACCCATCCATCTGTCATCTTCCATCTGCCCAGAGCAGATTGCAAGCCCCTTGAGGGCAGGGGCTTAGCCCCTCTCTGGATCCTAAATGCTCCGCACCCAGTTGGTTGTTTCTGGAAACTCTGCCTCCTTCCTCCCCCTCCCTCTGAGCCACTGGGTCTCCGAGGCCACCCACTGACCTTGCCCTCTTGGCCCCAGGCCCACCCTGGTCTGGCCTGGTTTTGCTGGTCTTGGGTGGCTCCCCCTTCCCTGCAGCCCCACAGGTCTGGCCAGTCTTGGGCTGGACGGGTAATGAGATTGCAGTAAGTAGTGGGGGGAGCTGCTCACATTCACTCAGGCGGACTCATAGCTCTGTCAGGCTGATTGGTCCTGAGTGGAAGCACAAACGGCCCCCCACGGACACACTGTGATTGGTTATAAAATTACAAGCATTTGTCCTGCTGTCAGGGGCCTTCCTCCCACCCCTCTGCCTGCCTGCCTGCTCCCACCATTCCCCACCCATCCCTCTCCCGAACAGGGTTGGCCCACACACCCCAAAGGACCTGGCCAGGGGCCACCACAGCAGGCAGGGCTAAGAGGCTGAGGCCACCAGGCCCCCAATGGGGCAGGGTTTCCTGCCTTGGCCCTGGAGTAGTCACAGTGCAGGCTGGCCTCGGAGTGATCTGACCCTGTGCTCAGGGTTTTCTGTCCCCTGAGGGTAGGTGGGGGTGGAGGCCCAGGACAAACAGTCCTTGGGATCCTTAGAAGAGGAAGAGGTGTCCTGAGCCCCAGGCCTCCCAGAGACAACCAATGCCTGCAACTTTAGATATGGTCCCAGGCTGGAGCTGTGGAGCAAGGGCCTGCCCTGCTGCAGGGGAGAGCAGCAGAAGCCACGTCGGCCACAGGAGCCCATCTCTCCTCCCTCCAGGTGGCCAAACCCTTGCCCTGTATCCTGACCCCCAACTAAGGACAAATCAGCCCCCAGGAGAGTCCCTGAAGCTTAGGCCAGACCAAAAAGACAATACGGCACACCAGAGCCTTGCTATGGTTACTGGTCTGTAGGCCAAATCCCATAGGCCTGGCTCTTGGACACCCCCACCCTGGGCCTTGACAGGGGCCTGGTTATCCCCAAGCATGAGTGCCTTGAAATCTCACCTAATGCTCTCTTATGCTCGCACAGAAGCACCCACTTCTTCCTGGCTGAGATCCAGGCACCAGCCCAGGTCCTCACCCCAGCTGCACAGCCTCCTTCCCACTCTTATTTCTCCAGCCAGGCTCTAGACACCGGCCCCTGACCAACCTCCAGCTCCAGCCTCAGTCCTTCCTCTCTGGAGGCACCAAGCCACCCTGTAACCCGCTTGGAGAGATGCTGAGGGAAGGGTTCCCCAGCTTGGAGAGGGGAGTGTTAGGGGAGCAGCGTCTCCTGGCTGTGGGCCACAAGGTACCTTCCTACCATCCGTCGCTCATTCGCAGCCCAGAATGTATTTGCTGTAATTACATCTTTAATGAGGGTTGTGACGGCTCATTGTTCACCAACAATGATGGATGGGTCCTCCAGCTTGCCATCCTCCCTCTGTCCAGCACCCTCCAGGTCAGCTCTCCCACAGCTTTGAGGCTGGGAAAGAGATACATGAGCACCGCCCTCCTCCCACTGAGTCACAGGCTGTGAGGCCTAGGAGCAGCCATGAGGTCTACCCCAAGGGTAATGATGTCCTTTTGGGTCCCGGGGGCTCCCAAGGGACTTGGTAGATCCTGATACCTTCACCCAGGGCTGCCTGCAGCAAGGCCGCTATCTCCTCATAGCCACCAGATAGATGCCTCCTTGGTCCAAACTGCCCAGGCCAGGTGATGGTCTGACATTGCCCCACTCCCACCCACCACACACATGCCACATCACACATCACCACACCCAGACTGGGCCTGGGGCCACACATACCTCGTCACAGGAGCTGACAGGTGCAGAAAGAAAGTCTTGCAGTTCACAGGATGGAGGGTGAGTGGGCAGCCTTAACTCCAAGCTCCCCTGTGAATGAACTGGGGTCTCTAACCAAGGTGAGGCCTCCCTTCCCCCCAAACGCTTTCACCCACCCAGGCCGTACGCCCAGGTCCAGGGCTGCAGGTGTTGGATGTTCAGTGACTCCATGAGCAAACAGGTCCAGCAGTGAGAGGAAATCCACGCTCCTGTTTGGAGCTCATGGGCTGGTTGGGGCCCACATGGAGCAGAGGGGCTGGGACAGGCCATGGAGACCAAGGAGCCTCTAGGAGGCTTGTGGAGGTGAGAACCCTAATCTGGGCTAAAGCCCCAAGTGTCACCCTCCTGGCCCTATGACCTGGGTGTGCCCCCTAACCTCTAAGTGTTCCCTCACTTATAAAAGGGGGGTGAGAACAGAACCCCACCACAAGAGATGACTGGCCAGATTTTCATCACAACGCAGCATGCCAAGTAAACAGAGCAGGCTAAGGTGGGAGCCACAGGGAAAGGGGGTGCGGGGTAGCTACAGGCACAAGGAGCTAGGAGA